GGTGTATGCCAACATCAATATCCTCGACATCATGTCTCCCCTGACTTTCATGTCATTGTAATATTTAGGCACCTGAAGCTATTTTACAACCTTGATGTCCTTGCCCCCCTCACCTCCTGAACTACCTCCTACTCATGAACCTCACCCTGGTACACCAGCCACCTCCGCCACCTCCTACATTTCTGACCTGCTGACCCCCTATCAACCTGTCCGCTCCCTCTGCTCAGCGGGCTCCAGCCTGCTCCATGTATCCCGCCTGACCCACCCTACCATCGGCGTCCAGGCTTTCAGCCTCTCTGCCCACACCCTCTGGAACTCCACCCCAATATCTCTTCACCTTGCTCCCTCTCTTGCCCCCTTGAAAGCACAACTCAGGACCCTCCTTTTCGACCGTGCCTTCAACCGCCCTCCTACCCCCTCTGCTCTCCCTCACCCCAACCCTACCCTCCACGCTTGGGTCCTGATCCCCGACTGTTCAGCGCCTTGGCTCATCCTCCCAACGTGAAAGGCGCTTTACCAATGTAATTTTGTTGTTGCAACTTCACTGACTAATGAAGTTCAAGCTGTTGTGCAACTGAAACAGCGAACTAAGTTGAACATTTACTTTTTAGGTAGAGATCCGACATAAAAGGCCTAGAGATCTTTAAATAATAACAATATAAGTGAAATACATTTGTACTAGTGCTCCATCGACCACTCTATCCTGATCCACCCCTCTCCTCTCATGTCACCTCAACCTCTATCCTTGACTGGTTCAGATCGTACCTCTTACACCGCCTCCACTTCATCTCCACGAACGGTTTATCTCTAGCCTTCGTGCAGCGATCCTCAGGGCTCTGTCTTTGGTCCCCTCCTCTTCAACATCTATATGCTCCCTCTTGGTGACATCATCCACATGTATGCGGGTGACACCCAACTGCCTCCACCCTTGACTCCAGGTCCACAGCTGTCCTGACTGAATGTCTGTCAGATATCAAGTCCTGGATGAGAGCTAATTTTCTTCAGTTGAACATCAACAAGACGGAGGCTCTCCTGATTGGCTCCCGTCAGCGCCTCCACACCTCAGGCGCTGACAGCATCACCGTCCATGGTTGCACACTCCACCTCACTGAGCCAGTCCGGAACCTTGGGGTCTTGTTTGACCCTCAACTATCCTCTCTAGCCCACATCGACGCCATGACCCGCTCTGCCTTCCCCACCTCCGCAACGTCCCCCGGATCCGAAACTGTCTCACACCGCAGGCCACCGAAACCCTCATACACCTTCATTACATCGAGGCTCGACTATGCAAACTCTCTGCTTGTCAGCCTCCCCAACTCCCCTCCACAGGCTGCTGATCATCCAGAACTCTACCGCCCATGTCCTCTCCTGCACTCGGCTCTGTGACCCTATCACCCCCATCCTCGCCCGACTCCACTGCTTCCCATCACACAGAGATCCTGGTCCTCACCTTCAAAGCCCTCCATGGTCTTGCTCCCCCGACCTCTGCGACCTCCTAACCCCCACCATCCTGCTTGCTCCCTCTGCTTAGTGGGCTCTGGCCTGCTTCACGTCCCCCGCCCTGCTCGCCCCTCTATTGGTGAGCTACTCTCTGCTCCCACCCTCTGGAACTCCATCCCACAATCCCACAAGGCGGAGTTGCGTCCTGGAGCAATTGACAGTGGCGGAGTCTGACCCTGAGCCAGGGGGAGAGGGAAGGGGAGCTGGTGACTATCAGCACGATGAAAAAAGGAGGTCTTTAAGCGGGATTTGAAAGTGCAGAGGAAGGGAGCAAGGAGAAGGGATTGAGGGAAAGAGTTCCAGTGTTTCGCGGCGCAGTGGCTGAAGGCACGGCTACCGATTATGGAGCGGAGGAGACAAGGGACGAACAGGAGGCCGGAGCCAGACGAACGGAGGCAGCGGGTGGGGGAGTGGGAGGTAATCAGATCAGATAGGTAGGGAGGTGTGAGGGTATGAAGGGAATTGAAAATGAGTGAGAGGATCTTGAAATTGATCCATTCAGTAATTGGGAGCCAGTGGAGTCTGGCGAGGACTGGGGTGATGGGGGTACGAAGTTTTGTATGGGTGGGAATCTGGGTGTCAGAGTTCTGAATTAGTTGGATTTTATGTTTTGTAGAGATGGAGAGACCAGCGAGGAGGGCATTGGAATAGTCCAGCTGGGAAGTGATGAAGGCCTGGGCGAGGGTTTTGGCTGCATTCATTGTGAGGAACATTAATTACATTAGAAGCAAAAAATCCATCCCAACACCAAAGAAACATCATCGGTACATTGGTACAACCAGAATAAGATGTTTTGGGACGTCCTCCTGACGTGAAAGGCGCTTTATAAATGGAATCTTGTTGTTGTTGTTTTTCAGTGACAGATTACAAATTGATTTGCTCCATTTACCTTTGGCACGGCTTGAGAAAATGTAAATCATTTCTCTGAAGATTACTAGGTTGGGTACAGTTCACTATAGTTCAGAGACAAGGAAGGAAGAGGCTAGAGATAGGGAAGGCCCTCTCTCTTTCCATATTTAAACCTGAGACCTATTCTCCTTGTTGGAGGGGGTGGTAAGTGGGGTCTCCTTGGAGCTGAGCTGATTCATGCGTGATGTGCTTGGTGAACAGAATGTCAGAATCGAGTCAACAATCTCTGGTGGTCTCAATTGTCCTGTTCTTGAGCCGGGCGGGACTGCAGTACTCCAGGACCTGCTGATGATACACTAGCCAGCGTGATTCATTGGCAGGACTTGGAGGAGTAGAGATTCTTCTCACTTGGCTCCTAAAAGCCAAATCCCTAATGGGTAGGATGGTCTGAGCTGGACAAGCAGCTGGAAGCTTACCAGACAATGTTCAATGGCTAATTTATCCTCCCATGCAGCCCTCGCTGAGACTAGCAAACTCAGCACAAATTGAGATTGGAACCTGCGAACTCCAAGTCCAGCTGCATCCTGGTTTATTTGACTCATGAATATGTAAAATTAGGGACTTTAACCAAATTCCTACCCTACTTGGAACCTGTTGATAGCAAATTTATTTCAATCAGCTTGCTCCATTTCAGTTTTTTTCATGGCTCATCCGAAATGCGCCGGAGCATTTCAATTTGCACTTATTTATAAATCTCACACCAGCACCAACTTGGTGCGGTTGAGTAATTTTACAATTGGCAATATTACTGTGTAACGAGAAGACTCAGGGAATCATATTGTGGTTCAAGTTCAAAGTCAGATTGATACGATGGCACAATGCACCGAAGGATTCACTGCTGTGTATCTCAGAATGGCAGGACTCAGATTTACAGCTGATCCGAGCTGCCATGCTGGGGGAGGTTTAAAGTAGGTGTCAGCTGTTTTCCAAATAGGGCAAGCAGAGGGTTGCAGAGCTGGGCAGGAATATTAATAATAATTCAGCTTCAGTGATTAAAGTTCCAAAGGCAGTCTGCTCTCAAGTGCTCTCAAATGATATAAGCGACCTCAGTTTAACATCTCGTCCAACAATGCAGCACTGTATTAGAGTGACTCAAAGGTGAGGTGAGCCAGGCTCACACTCTGGTGGCTTGATGGTGACTCGTGGACTGCCTTGGTGACGAGTCCGGCGACTGTTTTAAATGCTGGGGTCACTGCTGTAGTCACTGCCTATTGTGCCAGCCTTTAACGGCACTGACATGGGTTTGGGTTTATCGCCTGGGCACACGTATTTGAGCTATCCTGGGGAGTCATGATCAGTGATTTAAGCACACAGGGAAATTTCCATGTGTAGCTGGCATATATAACATGGAACTCTCGATCTGATTTGGATGGTGCTGATCAAAGTCTGGACATGGGGCTTGAACCCACAGCCATCTGACTCAGAGGTGAGCCATCTGACTCAGAGCGTGCTAACAACTGAGCCAGGCTTTTATTTACAATCAGTGTTGTTAAACATTCATCAGGATTCAGCTGTACTTTGGAATTGCTACTATAAAATAGTATGACTGAAAAGATAGCATTCCAGGTAAGAGTTGAATACTTCAACTCAGCATTCCGAATGACTTACCCATTCAGTACTTGGAGATTTTTCTTGCTATCAATTGCAAATCTAAAATACTGCATTGTCACACCTGATCATTAACTACTTTGCATTTTGTTTATGTGGGCCCACAAAGGTGCGTCTAACACGTCCTGTTCATTAACCCTTGCACCAATTCATCCTGAGATTACATTTTACCATTTGCTTCACTTTCCTCACAAGATCATTAGAATACATTAGAATATGCATTAGAGTATACAGCACAGAAACAGGTCATTCGGTCCAACTGGTCTATGCCGGTGTTTATGCTCCACATGAGCCTCTTCCTGCCCTTCCTCAACTAAGCCTTCAAGCATAGCCTTCTATTTCTTTCTCCCTCATGTACCTATCTAGCTTTCCCTTAAATACATCTGTGCTATAAGACTAATCACAAGATTAGTTCGATGAAGAAAGCCCTTCGGCCCTCTGAGCTCATCCTTATCAAACCCCACAGCCCTCCCATCACAGCATCAAGCTGCTTTTTAAATGTTACAGTGACCTGGTCTCAACCACCCACCTTGGCAACCTGTTCCAGTTGTCCATCATCCTCTGGCAACTGTTCACTTTGGCTCTCATGTCTGTACTGCCTTCACTTATTTCATCCTCATCTCCACAGGAATCCTGCGCTTTGCTCGGTAGAGGTCTTCACACTATAACCCTCCACAGATGTGCATATATTCTGCTGCCAAGCTTCCCTTGCTGGTGCTCTCAATCTGTTCACTCAATTCTTAATCTAACCACCATAAGTTTAAGCTCTGCCAACTCTATTTCTCCAGAACAACTACATTCGCTTACAAAATACACAGTCGCTACACTTTATCGCATATCCTCTGAAGCGCTTTGACATCTCCTCCTGACGAGAAAGGCCTATATGAAATGTAAGTAACAGTATTATTATTATGATCGCAAAATCAATTATATCATTGCGTTATCTCTGTGATATAAGTATCCAGTTCTCCAAGTTTATCTTTTGCAAAATAAATCAATGAATGGGAACAATGAGAAATGACGGAGATAAAAGCAAACCTGCCTGAATTACCTAAGAATTTGCAATGCTAAGAAGCTCATTATGACTCATCAGCTCATGGAGGAAAATATATTTAAGGTTGTCAACCATTGCCATGAAGTAAGAGAAAGGGGATAGAGTGAGTGAGTGACTGACTGAAAGACAAAGCAAGAAAGAGAGAGCGCGAGAGAGTGAAAGAGAGAGTGAGAGAGAACAAGAAAGAGCAGGGAGAGTGTGAAAAAAATTTGTGAGAGTGATAAAAGAGAAAAAGGGGAGAGAGAGAGAGAGTAAGAAAAAAGGAAGAGTGAGAAAGACAGAAAAAAAGGAGAGTGTGTGTGAGAGATAGAAAGAAAGAGAAGAGTAAAAGAGAAATAGAGGAGTACCTGTGACAACCCTAATCGGAAAATAGGGATGAACTTTGCGAGTAGTCCTGAGACCCCGACAACCTGCTGCCAGATGTTACTGAGGAAATTAAAGGGCTTGTTACCGGTCAACTTCTGGTATGAAGTGAAGGAGCTTTCCCGGCTGGCTGTGCCGGTGGTGAGTTGCACATTTTAGAGGTGTTAAATGATCAGAAATCCGCATTGTTGGCTGAGCCAATAATAAAACGCGAGGACAATTGAATGTCTTTTAGTGTCGCAATTGTGAGACCTTTGCATTTCAAGTTAAAGTATAAAATCAATGTTTACCAAATAATATCACTCTCCGGTTATTCACACAACGCTGAAATCGCATTTAGTTAAAAACCACCGGCATTCAGAACGTGTCCGGCTCAGGTGTTACGGAACGTTTACGCTGATAATTGTTAATGAAATTTCACGTTGACTGAAAAGTAAAACACAGTAATCTTTACTCCATTGCAACGGACACAGTACTCACTAGACTTAATTGGTCTTTCAAAGGCTTCCTCACTCACCAGTGGAGTAACTTCAGCCTCTATTATACCCATCGCTAACTATTGATGTTTGTCCTCTTGCCCCAAACTCATGGGAATTGTTTGATGGAGTGATGAAGGTGTTTGGATGACGATTAAATCGAGGTCTAGTCAGATGTCTGCCTGTTGAGACGGTCAGTAAAGATTACCCCATTCAAAAAGAGGAAGGAGTTTCTCCCCAGCAATCCTCCAAATAAAAAGAATATCATTCACTTCTTTTGTGGGGCAATGCTGGACGCACATTGGCTACTGCATTCGCCTATACTTTAGACAACTTGGAAGCTTTTTGACTTCTAGACGCTGTATCGAATGCAAACCTCCTGAAAACACTGATCGACAAGGCAAGTTACCTTCCTTCACTATCCTTCAATAAACCACGAAAGCACACTTACCCCATTATAAGTTTCACTGTCTGTGCAATACCCTTTACAGTCGATTATCTGACAAATTTGTACTAGGATGTGACATTGAGGCCCCTAGTGTTGCCTTGTCGAGCACCAAGGTTACTCTTTACATCAGAAATCAGAACGTGGATTTGTTTAGAATCTATTTTGCCTCTTGGGTTTTTTCCACTCCCACCCCCCTCAAAATGCATTAATCCCAATTTTCCTTCCATTGATATATGCAAAACGCAAAAGTGCATGAGTCTGAACAAACGTTGTTTGATTGCCTCAGCAACTCAGACACTCGCAGCATCAGCATCCATGGTTGCACACTCCACCTCACCAAGCCAGTCAGGAACCTGGGTGTCTTGTTCGGCCCTAACCTTTCCCTTCTCCCTCACATCTGTGCCTTGTCCCGCTCTGCCTTCCCCCACCTCTGCAATATTGCCCGACTCCTCCACTGCCTCACCCTCAGGCCGCCAAAACCTTCATCCATACACTAGTCGCCTCAAGGCTCGACTACAGAAACTTGTTGGCCTCTCCGGCTCTTTCCTTCACAAGCTGCGGATCATCCAGAACTCTGCGGCTTCTGTCTTCTCCCGCGCCAGGCTCTGTGACACCATCACCCCCACCCTCGCCTGACTCCACTGGCTTTCCATCCCTCGGAGGATGGAGTTCGAAATCCTTGTCCTCGCTTTTGAGGCCCTCCATGGCCTTGCCCCTCCTACATCTCTGACCTGCTGACCCCGCTCCCTCCACTTATCAGGCTCCGGCCTGCTCCAGGTCTCCCACCCGACCCGCCCTACCATCAACAGCCGGGCTTTCAGCCTCTCTGTCCCCACTCTTTGGAACTCCATCCCACAATCCCTTTGCCTTGCTCCCTCGCATACCTCCTTCAAGACATGACTCAAGTTGCTCCTTTTTGACCATACCTTCAGCCGCCTTCCTACTTCCTCTGCTCTCCCTCATCGCAACATTGCCCCCCTCGCTCGGGTCCTGATCCCTGACTGTTCAGCGACTTGGGATGTCCTCCCGACATGAAAGGTGCTTTACAAATGTAATTTTGTCGTTGTTGGCGGACTAGTTGACCACAGGAGGATTGCAACCTTGAATGATCCTGTCCTCACCTGATACCCACACATGCACATTTTCCAGCAGAGGTTACTGAGTTAGGAGCAGGGACCTTGGGTGATCTTCTCTTCGTTAACTCAAGGGCCATCAACAACAATTGTAGAGCCTTAACCTTGCCCAAGTGGAGACCTGCTAACCCAACACAGCGTTTTAATCTGCAACTTTCAAGTTCTGTGTGTTATGTCAGGAACGCATCAAGATGGTGTAGTTCCCCAGTAGGCGTGTGAAGTAAAAATAATATTGAAGAATCTGCGTCTGAGTTATTATCTGATTTATGTTTTTCTTTTTCTTTGACAGATTTTGACGCAATTTATGGTCTTTTGCTTAAGTATTACCAGCTCCATATTCTGCGGTCATTTAGGAAAAACCGAACTGGATGCAGTTTCTCTCGCCTCAGCTGTAAGCATGTTTAAAACTCAGCCCAGGCAGCAAGTAACACATTGGCAAGTGGCCTGGCTCAGTTGGTAGCATTGTCGCCTCCGAGGCAGAAGGTTGTCAGTTCAAGCCCCATTACGGGACTTTGAGCTCATATTGTCCAGACTGACACTCCGACACAGCGCTGGGGTTAGCATTGCATTATTGGATGTGTCGTTTTTCAGATGAGATGTTAAAACTGAGGTCCCATCCTCCTGTTCAGGTGGATGTTAAAGATCCCACCTCATCACACAGTGACTATACTTTACTGTGAATCCTGTGAAATGCTTTAAAATGTCCTCCAGACGTGAAAGGCGCTACACCAATGCAAGGATTATTAATAACTGTGGGACTTAGCTTTGAGTCCAGGCAGATCGATAAAATGCAAAGACTCCTCCTTCTCTCTGTTGGCCTCAACGATCTCATGTGCAATGCAATGATTTGGGGCAATCTCAGCCCAACTCCTAATTCATGGTCCCATGGCCTTAACATAGGTTTACTGGTGCGGGAATGAAAATGTTACATCCTGGCAGCTTTACTCTGTCGGGCAGTCTATTCCTAACTGCAAGTGCTCAATGTTGACAGCCAAAGAGGGTTGACTGAATTCCGATATTCTGTTGCTAACCATGTCACTTTAGAGCCTGATCACCTCCAAGGAGACCTTGGTACCAACACCACCTGGCCCCTCTCCCCCCACAGACACACAAACACAGTCACTAGTTGGTCATTTTGTATTGGGTACTTAATATGAGAATGTTTAATTTCACAACAATGACACCTAAACCCCCTCACTTTGATCAACAGAAGGTTCCTGTAAACTATTTATATTTTACAAATACATAAATGGAAGGCAATGCAGATTGGAATGGGAAATGGGAAATGTGCACACAGTGAAGGAGTACATGCGCCAAGAGGGAAGATATAAAATAATTTGGTTATGATTGCTGATCGAGTGATCAGTGGGTCAGTGGGTCCAAACATTCTTCCTTCCCTGAGTAACAAATTAAATGACTATTGACAGTTATCAATCAATCAATCTTGGTTAATCTTTAGAGAGACTCAAGTCACACTTGAATGCTGTTCAGCCCTATTTTCGTGTCAGTATTTGCTCCTCCAAGAAGCTTTCATTTAGCCTCAGTTTGCTATGAGCATTGTTGTTTATAACCATGACAGTGTATCAGAAGCTTAGTCATTTTGAAATACCTTTTCACAGGTGATAAATGTAACGGGTATATCAATCGGTGTTGGGCTGTCCTCGGCATGTGACACACTCATATCCCAGGTAAGATGAGCCACTCTGCGCTGCGGATGATAATGTTCTTTTTATAACTATCAATGGTCATTTAATTTGTTACTCGGGGAAGGACAAATATCTAGACCCACTGAGTGAATGATCAGCAATCTTAACCAAATCCTTTTATGTCTGCCCCCTTGGTGCATGCACTCCTTCACTGTCTGCACATTTACCATTTCCTATTCCAATCTGCATTGCCTTCCATTTATGTATTTTTAAAAATCTGTCCGTCACTCTTTGGCGCATCTATTTAATCAATCGAGCTCCCCCTATACGCTATTTATCCTCCATTTATTTCCTGCCCAGTCATCTTAGCATCATCAGCATATGTTTCTCTTACAAGAAGTGCTTGGCTCCAAGGTTCAGTGAGAAGAGTGAGCCCAGGCACTGTGGACCTCAAATACTCAATTTAACATTCGCTTCCACTTCCTATTTCAAACCTAACCTATTAATGCCATCATCTTTAACAGCTCTTAAGTGCCTTCCAAAAATCATGATTGAGGAAAAGGACTGTGGTAGCACGAAAGGATGGATCATCCACAGGCATGCTCACATAGCCTTTAGCGGCTGGTTTCTGGATCACCTTTGGGACCCGAGGTGCTCAAATTGGTTGCTGCAGCTGTCGAGAGGTGCATGGCTTGCCTGCCGAGTGATTTGAGATGCTTTGACATTTGGAAGCAATATGTCAAATGCAAAAAAAAAATTGCTATTTATTATGAGAAGAAGATATTACGTTGAGTAGAGTCCAAAGGTACAACAAATTGTACATTTTTTAAATCACTTTTTATTTTTCAAATTTAAAAAAAAAGTAATATCTTTTATAACTGTCAACAGTCATTTAATTTGTTACTCAGGGAAGGAAGAATGTAAAAGGTGGATCAAATTGACTTTACTGATTCATGCTATTATGTCCTTGGGGAGCTTGAGGTTATTTAATATGGAAAATACCCTTTTCTCTTATTGCTGTCAGACCTGTGTGGCATTCTGTTCCAGCTGGATTGAATACACAGTGCAAAATCTGGAGTGGCAGCAATTGCTGTATGTTGGATTATTGCCAATATCAATGTCACATAGGAAATAACATTGCCATACCCTGGACAACCCAGCAGAATGTTAATATACATTACTTAATATAAGAGGCTCAAGAGCAATTTAGTTAAACAGACCAAAAACCTGGAGTGTAACTTTCATGGGGAAAATAAATCTTGGTGTAAAGAGATATCAAGTTCGGCAGAAATTTGTTCAAATTACAGAAAAGTGGTATATGGGTTAAATAAGCATTTCAGGGCTGTGTTGTGGCAATGGCAATCTGCTGCTCTCTCCACTCCTGGGGTTGTTGGGCTCAATCCATTTGTGGGGTAAAAATTCCACCTGGATATTACAGATTTGCTCTACTAACATCGCATTTTAGATTACGCAGAACTTGCCAAGTCGCTGAATTCAGTTTTTACTCTTGAAGCCTGTTCTCTGCAGTTCCTAAAAGCATTCACAGATTATAGCTTTCAAAAATTAAAGACCGCCTTTAAGAATCTGTGTGGGCTGAAATATTACATTAGCAGAGTAAATCTAAACCCAGGTGGAATTTATAGCCAACGGTGGATTACACTGATGTGTGTATAACAAGCTCCCCAACATGTTCAGAAGGAAAGCATTAACAAGGCTTTTGAATTAACTATTGCAAATGTTTAGTGTAAAATGAACATTTTCTTCCAAAAGACCATTATGATCAGGGCTGAAATAAATCGTAATCTTCACTGCCATAAACCTTTGTTGAGACAAATTATTTTGTCATATAATAATCCTTGCATTTGGTATAGCGCCCCATCGCATCATCAACACGCCTCAAAGCGGTTCACAGGATTTACTTTTGTAGCATTTCACAGCATCCACAATCTGCCAAATTTAAGTTTAAGTTTTAACACAACAACTTGAAAATTATGATAAAATCCAACAACTTGGCAAATTTTGGATATTCTGAAATGCTACATAGAGTAACGTATTACATAGAATAATTCTAGACTCAGATGGAATTTTATGCTACATATATATATATAGAGAGAGAGAAGGCATAATTTCTCATTAATTTTACACCTTGACAAACAACGCACGGATAACTTGTTTTTCCCCTTCTTGTTATGTTCAGACGTTCGGCAGTGGAAACTTGAAGAGAATTGGGGCAATAATGCAAAGAGGAATTCTGATTCTCATGCTATTCTGTTTACCTTGCTGGGCTCTCTTCATTAACACAGAACAACTGCTATTGGCAGCCAAACAGCCTCCTGCGGTGGCCAAGTGAGTGTCTTTCACCTTCATTACAAAGATAACTGTTATTTCAGGGTAAAGAATATTTAAGGGTAAGGTGTTGCCGAAGTGGCACAGGATGTAGATCAAGAGTTGCGAAGCAGATGCTATACCTGCTATATAGTCACTATATATGCTATATAGTCACTATATTGTCAGCTCCTAATCTCAAATGAGCTGGAGAGGGAGAAGGGGGAGAGAAGTAGCCAGAGATCAGCTTTTAAGCACTACGGAAAAACAGCTTTAAAATGAAAACTGCATTTTAAGAATGGGTCAAATTCTGCACCTTCTTTGATGCTTTTCAAGGAAATAGTGTGTGTATGGTCCCAATGAAAATTCTCCTTTCCCAAACATAGAGTGGAGGCATTCAGACAATAAGCCAAACCTTGCCAATCTGGACAGTTCCTGATATCCAGCGCTGGGGATAAAAAGAGAAAACGGGAGGCCGCAGGCTGTGGTCTCAGATGGTGAACCCAAGGACGGGAATAGAAGTACTTAAAGAAATTAATGGGCAAAAAAAATTCCGACAGTAAGCATAAATAAGTTGGCGTTAAGTAGGAATAAGCCTTTTCCCCCTTCCCATTCAGGAATTTAGCCACCCACAGCCTCTCCTTATAAATTGCCTATTACAGACTGCTTATTGCTGACTGGCTGTGGAAAGCTCTTCTCGCTCAACAAATGGATCATTGTGGTCTTCAGACCTTTCCATAGCAGTCAGTAATAAGCAGGCTGTGAGAGGCAACTTCTAACTACATTCGGTCAGTTTCCCTCTCTCTCTTCCATCCCCCCCTCTGGATAAGATCCGTTGGGTCCACATTTAGCTGTCCAGCTGAGAACACAGATCTATTCATGACCTTGGGGGAAGTGAGTTGCTGAACCATTTGATTAAGGTAAAAAGGTGACTGAGAATCACAAATATCATTGAAAGTACATGAAAGCTGTGCTTTTCAGCCCAATTCGTATTACGGTTTCAAATTTAAACAGTAATCCACAAAACAACAAATTGTAATTCTAAAGTGCCTTTCATGGTTGTGTTGGAAATTATAATGCAAGCGCCCCTCCATTGCTTTAGCTATACACAGCACACCTACGTAGAAAAGTGATATTTATACTCTTAACACCACTCTTACTGATGTTTTCTATGTTTGTTACAGATTAACTCAGCTTTATGTGAAGATATTTATTCCTGGTCTTCCTGTAAGTAGCTTGTTTTCTGTACATTGTTAGTTAAAGAACTGCAACAACTCGAGACACTTGTTACATGAAACCAAACCAGCGAGTCCAAAAGAGAATCACCACCAAGCTATTCAATTGGTTATTGTCAGACCACTTCAGAGCATCTAGAATTTGAGAAATTCTTAAATGCGGGCTTTATCTTTGCAACTGGCTTTCTGTACGTTTTCTTTAAAAACACCAGAGAACAGGGCTTCAAAGTTAAAGCTGGAGCCAACAATTTGCCAAATTCAGGACGATATGAAATGCTGTATTAATAGAGTGAATCTAGGCCGAGGTGCACTGTCTACCAAATCATGCCTAGCGCAACCATTCGCCCACAAATATACAGTCAATTCACTTTACAGTGTATTCTGTGGAGCGCTTTGAGAAGTCTAGTAGACGTGAAAAGCGCTATATCAAATGCAAGGATTGTTATTATTATTTCTGATTGAGACATAAATAACATTAATAATCCTTACATTTGATCTAGTGCCCTTCACATCAGGAAGATGTCTCACAGCGCTTCACCGGATATACTGTAATATATGCAATATCACCTCAATTGGCATTATGATACAATCGGACATGGTTTGGCTTCAAATTGAGAAAGTATGAATGTAACTTTATTTTTATCGGTCATCACTGCACCATCCACTATCCTCACTTTTCTTGTTTTTATTTTTAGGCTGCATTTCTGTATCAGTTAGAGATCCGATACCTTCAAAATCAGGTACAGTCATTCTGGATTTTCGAGGATGCATCGATCTATTCTAATATTTAGTTACTTTACCAACAATTGCAGCGAGACATGTGTAGAAATCTCATTCTTTTCCTTCGATTTATACTGGAATCAGATAACCCTGGCTGTCCCTTGCCCAATTTATTGCTAAGTAGTTCACCAAATTCAGGATGCTCTGAAATGCTATGTTAATAGAGGCCTAGGCATGTTGCCCTGAAGTCCAAACTACAACTGCTTGAGAAATAAATAATATTTATTATCTACACGTGGGGTCCTGTAGCTCAGTGGTTAGAGCACTCGCTTTGCAAGCGAGAGACCTGAGTTCAATTCCAGGCAGAGGGCGAAACCTTGGGCAAGTTTCCTTACTCCACACAGAGCCTAATAATAATAATCCCTCCAAAAAAAAAACAATAATAAATTGGTCATTTTCAATCCATGACTGTTTGTGGGACATTGCTGTGCGCAATTGGCTGCCGTGTTCGCCCACAAATATACAGTCAATTCATTTTACAGTATATTCTGTGAAGCGCTTTGGGACGTCGAGAAGACGTGAAAAGCACTATATCAAATGCAAGGATTATTATTATTATTATAAATGTGCAATGATGATATATTATCTCGACACTGAGATCAAACCATCTTGGCGTATTTCATTCACAATTGTTAAGACCTTTGATTTGATTCAATAGAAATTTTAACCATAATTCTACCATTTGATACAGTGTCTATAATATTAAGAATATTATATAAATAAAAATAAGGAGGCGTAACATAAAGCAAGTTTCCTTACTCCACACACCTTTGATTACTTAGCAGTAAGTAGGAACCTGGTTGTTAGTCGATTGGCTCATTGCTTACCAGGGATAAAAATCCCTTCAAAAAAANTGATTTGGTCAAACAATTCACGACTGCTTGTGGGACACTGCTGTGCGCAATTGGCTGCCGTATTTCGCCCACAAAATACAGTCAATTCACTTTACAGTATATTCTGTGAATGTCTTCAAAGCGCTTCACAATGTTTCTGTGAAGTGTACACTTGTAGACGTTCGCGGCAGCTCATTTGTTCACAGCTACGACCCATAAACAGTGACAAAGTCAATGACTAATTTTATCCAGAGGTTTGGTGGCCAGATTTTTCTTCTCTGCAGGTATTCCCCTCACCTCAGCATGTTGCTTCCCTGAGGAGAATGAGGAAATACAGGGGTAGATACAATAATGTCCATTTCAAACAAAAACAAAGATACAAATGCCTTTATTTGTGGCGCTCTGGTCCAGTGAAATTCTCGTGACATACGTGTCCTGCAGCTGAAAGAACAAGGAGGTCGTCAATTTTCTCCAATGTCGGGTACCGTAGAAATTTACAGCACTGAAGAAGGTTATTCAATCCATTGTGAAAGAGCAATCAATTCAGTTCCATTGACATGCCTTTGCCCCCACGCCCCCACCCCCCTCCAATTTGCTCTGCAAATTTCAGACATCTTTATCTAGTTGCCTTTGGAAAGATAATTTGGATTATGCCCCTATCACAACACCTGGCAGGGCCTTCCATGTCCCAACAACTCTCTCTCCATGTTAACAAAAAATCCTCTCAAACTCCCATTTTGCTACCTTGCTACTTATCTGAAATTGATGCCTTTTACAGTCACTGACTCAACACTCAGGAGAAATAATTTCACCAACGCAGCTCACATCTTAATATTGCACTTCTTGTCTGGGGAAAGTGATTTCATCTACTTTTTGCTTAACTCGAGCACCGCGGCTGAGGGATTTAACCTGAGTTTGGTCTTTCCATGCACAATGCAATCATCAGGGCTCGATCAAGGTTCCTCTCTGATGAATGAATGAAAGGGTGGTACCCAGATAGACTGTGATGCTCTCTTTCTTCTCGTTCCAGGCTATTATTCTACCACAGGTTTACACTGGTCTCATAAGCAACATCTTTAACGGTGTAGCAAACTATATCTTGTTATATGTGTTAGAGCTGAGAGTGCTGTAAGTAGATGCAACTTCCATTTTTCAAAATAAAATGAAACTACAGTGATCAGATTTATCATGATTCCTTCCCATTGATATTTCCTCCCCATCATTAATACGAAGAGATTGAGTTACAGAGTTATGAAGGCTTGTAATCCACCTTGATTGGTTTGCAGTGAGGTAAACAGTTGCTGCTCAAGCTCTGCACCTCCGACTGGGAGTACCATCACTCAATGGGAAAGGATGTGTGTTCGATCTGTGGGCAAGAAGTTGGTGACAATACTGTCACACATTTCATGCTGAGCTGTGTTGCCCACCAGAAAGCTCACAGGGAGTGCATGGTTTTTGCCATCCACCTGGTGAGGGTTCAAACCCTCAGGTGTCAAATGAACATCCAATGACTAGCATCCTTGGAAGGTGGCGGTGTCCCAGTAAATGTCCAATTCTTTCTGTGCTTACATCCATGGTTAATTGTGTGATACGTTCACTCTTGTGACGCTTGTCACCGGCTGTACCCACTTAATGCACATTCACAACCACAAAAACGTTTACAACCAGTTTTGTCAAGTTGAACTTGCACTCAACAGTGAACCTCTTGATCTAAAGCTGCCATTGTATTTTTCAGAGGCTCTGCTATTGCGAATGTTATGTCGCAGTACTGCCAAGTTATTCTGCTGTTTTTCTACATTCGATGGAAAAAGCTGCACGTGGAGACCTGGGGAGGTAATGTACATTCCTATCTATGCAAAGCTGGCTTTTCCCTGATGACAATGTTTAAATTCTCATTCCTAATTATTTGTAGAGGGCGTGCGGAGGATGTATCCATGGCCCAGGTCTCAACTGTCCTTCTTGGCAACTTGTTCCAGTCATCAATATAATCCTCTGGGTAATGAAAAACTTCCTGGTGTCTATCCTGACAGAAGTGTTCACTCAACAACACCACTCCCAGCAACTTACATTTATATAGTGCCATTCACCCAGATAGCATCTGGGAGCAATCTTCCCACATAAACCTGAGCAGCAAGAGATGATTGACTTGTTAGTCCCAGGAGCATCACAGACCAAACGCAATCTTTCCCTCATGTGGCGAGCATGTGCATATTTTTGAACAGGTTTTATTACTGTGCCAGTATCTCTGTTGTTTGTTGTACAGGTTGGACCAATGATAGTCTGCAGGAGTGGGGCAACTTTATACGACTTGCAATCCCCAGCATGCTGATGCTATGTATTGAGTGGTGGACGTATGAGATCGGAATTTTCCTGGCAGGTAATTTACCTAACATCCCTGCGTGAGACTTCCTGGCTTGTTGAATTGAATGAGGAGTCAATCCGGCTTCCGCTTACTTTGTGTGAGCCTGGCTCATTCTCTTGCTGAGAGAAGTGCGCCAAGACAGTACACCACGCAAAGGGCACAAATATAAATACAAATTGCTGTTGTTGTTTAAGCTTCATGTCGGGACTTTGAACTCATATGGTCTCACAACATTGGTTTGGACACTCACAACATTGGTTTGGATGAAGAAGGCCCTTTGGCCCATCTGATCACATCCTTCCACAACACCCACCCTACCACCCACCCTCTGATCACAGCTTCAAGCTGCTTTTTAACAATGCATTACTGGGGGAGTGTTCACCTACAAAATACACTTTTGTAGTGAAAAGTCACTATACTTTACAGTAAATCCTATGGAAGATTCTGAGACATCCTCAAGATGTGATAAGGCACTGTGTTAAATGCAAGGAATAATTATCTCCTGCCACACTGGAGGGATGTGGGATTTTCCATTTTAAAATGAAGCAAGGATTGACTGTCCCATCTCCTGTTCACAGGATTAATCAATGAAGTCCAGCTTGGGGTACAGGCAATTGTCTATCAACTTTTAACAGCGGTTGACATGGTAAGGCTGCTGATTCAATGCAGATACATTATTTATATGCACAAACTCGCTTTAGGAACAATAAACAGAGATTATTCTGCCTTGTAGTGTTTTCTTTAACCTTCCAATGACAGTATTCACTGCACAAATAGAGGCCTTAGTGATGGCTTCCCCTCCACTCCCTCTGCTCCCCAATATTCACCTACGGTTAAACCCCTCCATGGCCTTGGCCCCACCCATCCATGGCCTTGCCAGAGGTTTCTGCATCAAGTATTCACCTTCCTCATCACTAATCCTCATCCTCATCACTAAATAAACAGTCCATTCACTTTACAGCATATCCCGCGAAGCGCTCTGAGACATCTAGAAGATGTGAAAAGCACTATATCAAATGCAAGGATTATTATGATTATAATCGTGGATTCCATATCAGAGCTATCCACTATTCCATGTTGCCTTGATCACACTTGTTCTATCATGGTTCTCTGATGCCCTTCCGTTTGTAGTTCTTTCTTCTTGTCATCCTTCACCCCTGTGTTTTCTCTTGTGTTCCTCTTGTGTTCCTGTACTGCCTTACTTAATGCCCATATTGCTGGCAAACATAGCAGTCCTTTACCTCCTTAAAAGGTGTACTAATCCGCCTTTCTCACAGGTGTCTTTTATACTTGGCTTCCGCTAAGCCTGTAGCTTCGCTGCACTCTGTATTCCTCATCCGAGTCATTCTAGCTTCTTCCTGTACCAATTACATTTGTACAGGACCCTTCATGTCGGAGGGACATCCCAAGGTGCTGGACAATTAAAGGTTTGCACCCAAGCTGGTATTTTAGCAAAGTATTGATGAATCGATGCTGTAGGCCCTTGCTTCCTTGTTCCAAACTTTCATCTGTCTTATGGTGATGTTGTTTTATCCACAACATCGTTCCTGCATAATAGTCATTATATCATCCAATGGCATGTCCACAGCCCTTTTCAGAGTTGTGAGGAACTCTTTTGCATCCTCATCTGCTACATTCCAGGTAAACAGCAAACTTACTATAAATTGCAAATCAAATTTGAATCAAATGGAGAACTATCCCACTGGCGGGAGGGTCGGTAACCCGAGGACACCGATTTAAAATAGTTGTTAAAAGAAACAGAGGGGAGGTGAGGAGAAATTTTTTCACACGGCGAGTTGGTTGGATCTGGAATGCATTGCCTGAACTGGCGGTGGAAGCCAATTCGATAACAACTTTTAAGAGAGGAGTAGATATTTATTTGGGGAGGATAAGTTTGCAGGGCTACGGGGGAGGGAGCAGGGGAGTGGGATTGAATTGGGTAGTTCTTTCCAAAGAGCCGGCACAGACACGATGGGCTGAATGGCCGTCTCCTGTGTTGTATAATTCTATGATTCTATGAAATTTGAGGCTATCACAAAAATTTGAAAATCCTACTCAAACTTGTGCCAAACATATCTCAAGTTCCTACTGACTTCAATGGACACGGTATTTGCACGCACTTTGATATGGCATCTGATTTTGCCATTACCGAATTCATGTTTTCTGTTGTTTTAAAATCCGTGTTCAGTCTCATAGTCAGTTCCAATCCAAGTTCAGTTTTCCTTCTAACACCATGTAAAGATTCTCAATCCAAACACTGATGTATTAAGCAATTTCTTTATTCTCAGCTCATAATACAATGTTCCAAACTGCTTTTATTTCTTAATTGTCCCTTTCTTAATTGCAATTTAACTTATTAAAGCGATATCCTACAGGAACTGTATGAATGCAAGATTGTTGTCATTTATATAGCGCTCCGGGACGCTACTCCGCACGAAGGGCGTGAAATAAATGCAAGTTGTTGGCGGTGTTGTTGTGGAGAAGTGCCTGCATCTGAGATCAGCCTCAGCAGCAAGTGACAATTGGTTCCTGCTGGGACCTGGATGCAGGTACAATCTCCTAGGGGTAAATTTATGGAAGCGACATCCTCTTTTGAGATAGGGATGGCTTCCACATGATAAAACCCGTCATACATACAAGCTCACAACACCTGCTCAAATTTCACCCACAACTCCGAGGAAATAAGCAATTGGATATAGAGCGGTGCAGAAATGAGCCCTGTGTTGTTGTCCTTTCGTAGATTCCTTTTGGATGTGGCGTGGCAGTAAGCGTCCTTGTGGGTAAAGCACTGGGTGCAGGCAAACCAGATGAAGCTAAAAACTCGTCCAAAACTGCTCTGTGGTGTATCGGTGAGTGAGCTCTTTATAATGTTTTACGTTCTTGGCAAATCCATGGACTAAAACTATTGTTATTTCGACGACTGTTACACATAACTATGCTCACATATGTGTGAGACATATGAGTTTTAAACGCTTACATTCCATATCTGAACACACCCCTTGTGCTCAGTGCACCTAATTGCTAATTAAATTACATTTTGCCTAACAAATCTATCAGTTGGTTGCTAGTACACATCCCATCCCCTCACGTTAAAATATTTGAACCTACACTGTATGGTTAGATAAAAGATAAAATTGCCCTGTGGCACACAAAATCTTTTGAGATTGAATTCATCCCCACATTTTCATTTCAGTAGAGCCATCCTATCAACCGGTTTTGTCCTTTGCACGATAATACATAATATATAATACATTGTTGGTTAGTAAAGCTTGTGCAAAACCTTGGATTTCCCTTCTACCTGCATTTCAACAGGATGCAGTGGTCTGATCATGGTGATCATATTGGCTCTGGTAAACGATGTGGTGGGTTACATATTTACCAACGACAGGTTAGTAAAATCTATTTCTATGAACGTGAATGATGCACTTTTCAACTCGAGTTTGCAATTTTGTAAAGCTCTCTGACATCACACTCTCTCCCCCCCACCCCAACCTCTCTTTTCTTCTTGCAGAGAAATTATTCGGTCTGTTTCAGATCTCATGCCATTAATTTCCGCCTTCCATTTCTTTGACTGCATAGCCGTGAGTACATTAAGGGTAACATTTAATTACTTGAATGTTTCTCAAAGAAGGACACACAGCAAATCTTTTCGAAGAAGATTGTCAGGAACCTAACCCCCCCCCCCTCCCCCACCCCAATTTTGACCATTTGCATTGTGCTTGTTGGAAAGGAAAGGTGTCGGAGCAGAAGAAATTCACTTTATACAATCAACAGTTTCTTATGCATTCCATGCGGCTTCCTCATGCATTTCCCTGGCTGAGCAGATGCTTCAGGGTCACCACTTGCTGGTACAGTTAGCTCTTTTTTAAGAAATCCCGGGACTGCTATTTCTTTAACAGATTTGGATGCATTCATTTTCCATGTTCCTCTAGAATAGAGAAAATATAACACCGTCAGGGATCAGGGTGGGTGTGTGGTGGATGGCTGTCATTGGAAGAGTGAAGCCCCTACAAGGTACCTAATCTTTCCTTGTTCTTCACTCAGCATCCTCCACACACCACTGGAGATATTATGAGGAGGAGGAGGAAGAGGACACTGACTGGAGAGTGGAGAGTCCAGCCAGAAGGATGACCATGGGATGGTCATTAGTGAGGCAAATCTACCTAGTGGATCCCATAACAGGCTATATTCACATCTGTGCCAAACCTGGCAAGTAAATTGGTCATGCTCACAAGTCCTTCTGCTTGGACTCCCTGGAAAAGTATGCCCACATCGCTAGTCAGTCCCATTATGTAAAGGGTGAAAATTTCTTTCCCACATCTTTGCTTTAATATTCCTAGATGAGTTGTAGGCCATCACACAGGTGGAAAAGTATAGGCAGATGTCCCAGGACATCAGATGTCCATTAAACTTCTCCAGCTTGGCTTTGAAACATCTCAAACGCTTGTTATTGGGGATGTCAACTACAGCCAATGCCCTGGAGCGCTTAAAGCAATGCTTAAATCCCATTCCGTTCCTGATGAGGGGAGGAAGAAAAAAAGAGAAAGTGGTCACACAGGTTCTGAAAGAATCAAATGCTAACTGCTCATGAACTGAAAGAGAAATCTGTCGTTCTTGTGCACAGAGTGAGTTTGATCCACCTGCTGTGCATGTCCAACGCCGAGGTTTTATTTTACCTCAAAGAATTGATACTGTTCCTTCACAGAGGTCAGATCGTGGTAGAAGATACATTGATGATATAAACTTTGTACTGTAGAAATGCAGTAAAGGCCATGAGCCAGATTTTAATGCCGCCTAATTGTCCATCCTGCAGGGTGTGTGCAGCGGAGTGTTGAGAGGAGCTGGCAAGCAAAAGCTGGGAGCTATTGGGAATCTAATTGGATATTACTCAATTGGCTTTCCCCTTGGAATCTCACTGATGTTTGCTAAACACCTTGGTATCACAGGTACAAATTGATTTTAAATGAATCAATTCACACTCGTTTTCAAATCCCTTCACGCCCTGGTACCTCCATCCTCTCTGACCTGCTTACCCCACAACCCACTGCCTCCGCTTGACTGGCTATGGCCATCTGCATGTCCCTCACGCCCTACGTTCCACCATTGGTGGCTGCGCCTTCAGCCCCGAAACTCTGGAACATCCCTCCGCCTTGCTCCTTCCTTCCCCATCTTCAGGTCGTGCCTGGAGACTTCCTTATTCGATTGTGCCTATGTCCCATTTGATTTCTTTGCAGGTCTTTGGATTGGTCTGTTCATTTGTGTCATTCTACAGTCATTCTTTCTGCTGATAGTGATATTCAGAATTGAATGGAACAAAGCTTCAGAGGAGGTAACAGTGCTCGTGGTTCACTAATCAGTACACTTATTATTGTTTGTAACTCTCCATACATTAGATCCACACATTAGCAGAAACACCACCTTGGTGTTGGTACATCTCTGGCCTCTGAGTAGTGACTCAGGCAGGAATTACAATACTCTGTCATCAGTAGGGAATCCCTGTTACTTCATTTCCCTAACACCACATTTCTAAGCTGCGCTGTTCCTTTGAAGAGGAATCTCCACATTAGGATTCCTGTTCCATGGAGAAGGACTGAAATGTGTAGTGGGTTAGCACCCGCCTTCCATCACCTCCGGAATATCGCCAGATTACGGCACTACCTCACCCCTCACGCTGCTGAAACCCTGGTTCACGCCTTTGTCACCTCAAGGCTGGACTATGGGAACTCTCTCCTCGCCGGCCTTCCCGGCACCTCCCTCCACACTGCAGGTCATTCAGAACTCTGCAGCTCGTGTACTGTCCCGCACCAGGCTTCGGGACCACATCACTCCCACCCTCGCTCGCCTCCACTGGCTCCCCATCCCCCAGAGGATTGATTTCAAGATCCTCATCCTCACCTACAAGGCCATTCACGGCCTTGCTCCCTCCTACCTCTCCAACCTACTATCCCCCTACCTACCTGCCCGTACCCTCCGTTCCTCTGGCTCCGGTCTGCTCCACGTCCCCCGCCCCAACCGCCCTACTATCGGTGGTCGGGCCTTCAGCCTCTCAGCCCCGAGGCTCTGGAACTCCATCCCCCAGTGCCTTCGCCTTGCTTCCTCCCTTTCCTCCTTCAAGGCCGGTCTCAAAACCTTTCTCTTTGACCGTGCCTTCAGCTCCCCTCTCGACTCTCTTCCTCCTCCTCGCTCCCTCCCTTCCCTCCCCTCACCCTGACCATTTCCCCCTCCTCTCTCCCTCCCTTCCCTCCCCTCACCCTGACCATTTCCCCCCTGCTCGGGTCATGACCCAACTGTGCAGCGCCTTGGGACGTCCTCCTGACGTGAAAGGCGCTCTATAAATGGAATCTTGTTGTTGTTGTTGTTGTATGTTATACTTTTGTCTCCTACTTGTTGGGTGCTAACTTTGCTTCAATAGCACATTTTGACTGAGAACAACTGTACATTATTATTATAATATATATATCTAATATATAGTGCCTATGTTGGGAGAGATGCTGAGGGCATTTGGGAGGAGTTCCAAAGGGCAGGGGGCTGATGTGGCTAATGCTGACAGCCACTGAAGGTCTCAGCCACTGTAGGTGTGTCAGAGGGGGCGAAAAGTGCACATTGACTTGTTAGCCAAAGAGGGGGAGGGGAGACGGTTATAGAGGGTCCTGTATATCTGAGTCCTTTCTTTAGTGGTTCCACTCATTTCAGTGGCAGACATTTCTGTCCCACAGTCTGGGGGCGGGCAGAGGGATAATAAGTAATGGCTTATGGTTGGAGAAGTGGATGGCAAGCCCTGGAGTATACATTATCAGGTAAACTAGCATGAGATTGAAATTCCTCCTCCAACTTGCATTACTCCATTTTCAGAGGAGCCTTCATTTCACTTCTTCCCTCCCACCTCCCACACCACCTTAATTTAAATTGACGGTTTGTGGAATTTTAAAGGTAGTTTTGTACTGTCATTGGGCCCTTCACATAATGAACTGTGCTGAGATTAGATCACAAGATCGGTTTGGATGAAGAAGGCTCTTTAGCCCATCTAATCTCATCTCTCCAGAATATCCAACGTATTGTCCTCCCATTACACTAACAAGATTTTTTTTATTTTAGTCCAGCCTCCTGGTCGCAATACCCTTACAGGTACCCTGTTCCCCCTCAGCTTATTTCACAAGTGATCTCTCATGCTGTGGGAAACAGGAAGCCTATTCCATCAGCCTGGGTTGGATTTGAACTCAAGTTTCAGAGGTGAAGGGACGTTGTGCTAACCCACTACACATTTCAGTCCTTCTCCATGGAACAGGAATCCTAATGTGGAGATTCCTCTTCAAAGGAACAGCGCAGCTTAGAAATGTGGTGTTAGGGAAATGAAGTAACAGGGATTCCCTACTGATGACAGAGTATTGTAATTCCTGCCTGAGTCACTACTCAGAGGCCAGAGATGTACCAACACCAAGGTGGTGTTTCTGCTAATGTGTGGATCTAATGTATGGAGAGTTACAAACAATAATAAGTGTACTGATTAGTGAACCACGAGCACTGTTACCTCCTCTGAAGCTTTGTTCCATTCAATTCTGAATATCACTATCAGCAGAAAGAATGACTGTAGAATGACACAAATGAACAGACCAATCCAAAGACCTGCAAAGAAATCAAATGGGACATAGGCACAATCGAATAAGGAAGTCTCCAGGCACGACCTGAAGATGGGGAAGGAAGGAGCAAGGCGGAGGGATGTTCCAGAGTTTCGGGGCTGAAGGCGCAGCCCCCAATGGTGGAACGTAGGGCGTGAGGGACATGCAGATGGCCATTGCCAGTCAAGCGGAGGCAGTGGGTTGTGGGGTAAGCAGGTCAGAGAGGATGGAGGTACCAGGGCGTGAAGGGATTTGAAAACGAGTGTGAATTGATTCATTTAAAATCAATTTGTACCTGTGATACCAAGGTGTTTAGCAAA